CAATCGGAAAAAATGCAGAGCAAAAGCAGAGGAGAGGCCAAGGCAGAGCGCTCCGCTCCAGCTCTCTGCACATAAAAAGAGAAGACGAAAAAAATAAAACATAAGCAAGCCGCAACTCTCACACACACACACTTACACAGGACAGAGAAGTACTCAAGCATACAACAACAACAGCATAAGCAGCAAAGCTGGAAAAAATGAGAAGAAACTTTGAGCCTGAGCGCCAGCCGAAGCAGCAGCAGCAGCAGCAGCAGCGACAGCAGAAAGCGGAGGAAAAAAATTGAGGCACAACACGCGCACCGTGGGCCGCACGCGCGCAAAAAGCGCTCGAAACCTTAGCCGACAACAACAATTTGCATTATTGATGAGCTGGCGCCACCCACTGACCATCCCCGAAATCCCCACCCCTTCCCCACCTTTTCTTAACAAACTTGCGGCAAACTTACCCGCGTGTGTGAGTGTGCGAGCGAGTAAGTGAGTGCGAGCAGGGCGACAATAAGCGATACATAAGGCGGTACTCGGTGGAATGCGGCGGGATCCAAGTATATAACACCCTTAGAAAATGACCAACACTGACCAGGACACCGAAATGTACGACGACGACTTCCTCCTGGACTCAGACTCCGACTCCGACTCCGACTCGACTCGGACAATCTCTATGGGAGAGGCGACGTACGCCCATTAACTGGAGATGAATTCTCATGGCCATGATTTGTGTTCGGATGTCGCGTAGACATTTCCGAGGAGTGGGAATGTAGGTAGGGTAGGTTCACAGCGGAACCAGTTAAAACAATGGACCAGATGAGCGGAGAACAAAACACCACAAAAAAGTGCAGCAATTGATGGACACACTCGTGCTCGTCCTTCTCCTAGTCTTCCCGGTGGAGGCAGCAGTCAGGACATAAGCGTGAACATGCAACATGGATGTAAAAGTGGGTGTGAACATCGGGAATGAATTGGAAATCGGAGCTCATCGTCTAACGGTGACTGCAGTCGGCGCTAGGAGGAGCGCCTAATTGGATTCAGTTTCTATGGAGATTGCGGTAACTAACCCAGATCCTCTATTCTCTAGAAAATGCGATTTACTTTTCCGAGATTTGGCAACGAATTAATCAACAAAAAGTTTACTTTATTTAATTGATTCAATTGAAATATTAATTAACTCGAATACTACAAGAATTGCACAGCATGAACCACTGTGCGGCAAAACAATGCACGTTTCGTGAGCCGTAGAAAAAATTGCGCTCTCCGACAGCAGAGGCAGAGCGAGAGCCAGCAGGCGAATCCGAAGACAAGAAGCAGGACGAAAAGTTGAACAAGAAAAAAATCATGATGAAACTGGACAGACGCTGCGTCGGCCCCAACCACACTGCAAAGGCAAGGCACGGAAGGGGAGGGAAGGTGAAGGTGGGCCGGCTTCGACTTGGACTGAGAATGAAAGTGTACACGAGTCAATGGGGAGAGGACTCTGGACTTGTGTGAGTGTGTGTGAGCCACGACCATTGTTGGGGAGACGGGGACTCGCGCACAAACACACACACAGAGACAGAACGCAGGCAAAAAAAATTGTTTCTTTGCGCTTCACTCAATTTCGATTTTTTCTTTTATTTTGCCTCCCTTTCGCTCAGCTCAGCAGCAGCTCGGTTCCTTCGAAAAGTTCAAAGTTGCAAGCCCAGCGCCCAGTGCTCTCTCTCTCGCTCTCGCTCACACACACTCAGACACATTGGCGACGTGCCGTGGGGCGAAAAAATGCTCAGAGAGCTGTAGCAGTAGCGGTGGGGTGGGGTGGGGTTTGGCGTGGCGGCAGCAGAGCAAAAAAAAAAAACGAGGAAAAAGTAATTCTGCACAGAAAAATAAAAATTGTTTGCAAGAAAGAATGAAAGAAAAAATCGGAAAAAATGCAAGCCAAGTGGTTGCCGACCGACCGAGATAGAGTGAGAGACAGAGAAAGAGAGAGAGCGAGTGGGGGTGATGGCTGGGTGTGGGCTGAGGCTGGGTGTGTGGCACGCCACCCCATTAACTGGTGTCCACCTCCGTCTCTGTCTTTGCCTGACTCTCTGGCTCTGGCTCTTTCTCTGTCTGTTTGTATGTGTGTGTGTATGTGTGTGTGTTTGTGTCAGTTTCAGCTGCTCACATAGTTGGCCAAAGATAAAGGTGCCGGCATGGTTGGTGCGGGTGCCGGGGCAGGGGTAGTGGGTGTCGTGCCCCAGCCACACATGCAATGAGGCCAAAACGAGCTAGAGAAGGAGAATTGAGGGGGAGGGGGCGAGGGCGGCTCTCGGTGGCGACGCATTGGGAAGACCCTCAAGTGTTGGCATGCAGTAGCGAAAAAAATACATAGCAATAAATATAACCAAAGCACATGGCGGAGCAGACACATGCATGTGTCGCAAATAGTGTGCGGGTGAGGGCGGGATGGGGCCGCGGGTGGCGGTGGCCTCAACACTAAATCATCTGTGCATGTATGCAATTCACAGATATGTGTGTGTGTGTGTATCTGTGTCCACGCTGACCACGTTTGCTAAAAGCACTAAAGCAGCGCCAGCATTAATTAACGCTTAGCAAAAATCGAATCTAAGCTTAACCCCAAAAAAGTGCAAGCATAAATCCAATCCAGGTGGCAACGCTCTGTTGAGATACATATGCTGTGAGAAAGGGTAATCAGTATTCCATAGAATAGGATGGGTCTGGTTTTAATTAATTAGCAAAAGAGAAAAAAAATAAGAGTGAACCTTGTCTAAATTATGTGCTGCACGAATGTGCACTACATGCGTAAAACAAATTTTTGGGACCGGAACGCTTCAATGCACATCGTTCCGAACTTTATAGTCCAGTGACCGGTCCCCCCAGCTGAGGTCCAACCGACAGCGCAGCCATACAACATTTTCAAGGCGAATCAGACGCGCCAAACAAAAAAAATAAAGGGGCCACCGTACAAAAGCAAAAAGCCGAAATACGCACCAAGCAAGACGACGGCAACGTCAACGTCAAAGCTCCACAAGCAGACACACACACAAGACCACATGCAGGCGACACAGCACACACATTCAGAAGGGAACGGACAGAGAAGTTGCGGTCGACGGCGACGCACAACGGACAAGCAAAACACACAAAAGTACAAGGGCAAATACAACAACACGAAGAACAACTGCACGAAACAGAAAATAAAAATGGGCGAAAAAGTTTAATACATAAAGTGCGGGAGAAGGAGAATAAGGAGAAGGAGCCACGCGAAACTCCAAGAACATGTGCAGAAACAACGGCGACGACGACTACAACGGCAACGAAAGAGATACAAACAACAAACACAGTGAGCGTCATCGTAGCTGTAGTCGTAAGCCTCCATTCCATTCCCGCTCACCCACCTACTCCACAAATATCAGGAGCATGGGAAGAACGAAAAAAATCGGCAACTTGTGGAAGTTATGGAGGGGGCTGGGGGGGAGAGCGAGACAGCGAGAGAGAAAGAGAGGACCGAGTGGGGCGCCCATCACAGATGGCCGGCAAAACTTTTGCTGCGAAAATATAAAAATGGAGCGCACGTCTGTGACAAAAACAACAAGCAGCGAAGAGGTGGGGGTAGGAGAAAGAGCAGGCAGCATGAATGGGAAGTCGTCTGCCAGTCGCCGCAAGAAGAAGAAGCACCAACATTTCCATGTGTGTGTGTGTGTGTGTGTGTGTGAGGTTGGGGGTGGACCTGGGCCGACATTTGAGCCAATTTTTGTTTGCTCAGTCAGCGACTTGAGTGCGAATCCAAGAGCGAAAGCAGCTTCAAGCAGACATGTTCTATGCAGTACCGCTGCCACCAGTGTTATACCGCCGCTGTAATGGTTCGTGTCTTGGCTCAACTGGTTTCTGCTTAAATAAGCTAATGTTAACACTTAACAGCGTTGCGGAAAATATGTTAATTTTTCATAAGGATGTAATTTCCGAGTGCTCCTGCCCGTTAAATATGCCCCAAGTGTCAAGTCCTTAGGTATTTTTATGCATTTACAATACTAAGGAATTTTCGTTAAAAGGGGCACCCCTCTACAAAGAGTTGTTTGAGTAGAAATCGACCCGAGAGCGTGCAAATCGATATTAATTAAAAATCGCAAGCTGCCTGGAATTTCAATATCAGTTTGTTCTACATATAAAAACACACAATGTGTGTGTGTGTGTGTGTGTATTATGTATAGAGAGAGGTAGTTGCTATGGAGAATCATCTGCCACTACACTGGGGCGCAATAGTTAATGAAGCAAACAACACAAATGACAATTACAATGGGGCGTTCCTCGTCAAATTCAAAGCCACAAGGCAGGCGGGCGGGGGGCATCAACGGGTGCGCAGCTCTCCCAGTGGGGGGAGGGTGGCTGGGGGCCAGAGCTGCCTCTACCCACCCACCCGCAGTGACAATCATTTTACCTATATATGTATATTTCCCCCTCTCTCGTTCACCCGTTTAAACAAAAACAATAATTCGAGGCTAATGTTTGTTGACAAACCGATTAGTAGGCGGTAATTGTGTGTGTGTACAGTGCGTTTCGTGTGTGTCAGGTTAGGTCTATTCAGTAGGTTTGGACTTGAAGAAAGATTTGTCTTAGTTTTAATGAAGATTTCAGCGCTACATCTGCATATAAAAACTTTCTCCATTAAAGACTGCCAAAGTTGAAACAATCGTCGAATGTGAATTCATTTCGATCCAAATGGGAACCCTTATCTGAATAGCTCTGCATGAAATGGTTTATTATCTATAGAGCTTTGTGGCTACGATGTGGATACCATTTAGCCAGGGGGAATATGCAGAAAGGGGCAAAGTTCCAACACGCAGCAAAAAGTATTTGGTAAAAATGTTTAAACAGAAACCAATTAATTAATAGTTGCATTATTCTGATTACATTAAGCAAAAACTGTTTATAAATCGAATTGTTTTCTCTACCAAATTCTGACTTGAGGTCAAGAAAATGCTCTATAAATTTCCAGCCTATATATTTTTAGTGATTTTTGAGGCGCGACTCACCTGTAGTTCTGATTCGGTGACATCAATCTCGCCGCGGTAGACGAAATCGATGATTGTTTTAAGATCTGTGAATATGATATCGGCGGGTAGGATGATTGTGGGATGTTTGCATGGATTCTCCAGCAGCAGCTTTTGAAAGTATGTCGAGCAGGCGGAGAGTACAACCTGGAAATGGTTTTTACCAAAGATTGTAATCAAAATCAATATCTGGGGGAGTGACTGGGGACGTACCTTGTGTGCCTTGAGGGAACCGTGTTCGCAGGACAAGGTCACATCGACAAAGGAGAGATCTTCGCGCAGTTGCTGGAACACGGATGTCATCGTGTTCTGATAGTTGTTCCATCGCAGGCTAAAGTACTGATGTCCTCGTACGGCAGCCATTTTGTATGATTTCCGTTTCTCCTTGAAGTTTTCTTGGAATTTGTACAACGCGTTTTGTCGTCGTTCAGTGGTTGGCTTTTGTTGCTGTTGTTGCAGGCTCCCGTAATGTGTTCAACACGTCCAAGGCTCTGTGTGCCCGTGCTGGCAGCCGCTGAAAAACAAAAAACCAAAAAGAATCGTCAGGAAAAAGCGGATAACTCGACAACAGATATTTTGCGCTTAGCTAACTGATGCAATTCTATTTATCAATCAATCAATGTTTAGCAACAAAAAGAAAGTATCTTCCGTTGCTACTTCTAAGCGGAATGACGCTCCTGCTGCAACTGAGAGAACAGCAGCACCACCCACACCCACACCCACACCCACACCCAACCACATGTTGAGGATTCATCGGGGGCATCGTGGCCATTGTGTCGGACACACATAACTTATCGATGAAGGGCAGAAGACGGGGCTTAGGCTAAGCCTTATGGAAATGTATTTTGGTTTAGTTTATAATAAAACAATTCCATGAACAAGCGGGCACAGCAAAAAAGTTTCTTTTTGCGCATTTTCATGCAAAAAGAAGGCTTGAGCTGGTGGTCCAGGGGAAAAAAAAGAAGAGAAAACCGAAACCAGTTTCAGTTCAACTTATTTTTTTTTTTTTCAATGGCACGTATTGGGGCCAGGCTCGTCTGCATTGTCAAAATGAGTGGAAAAAAATAAAAATAAAGCTAAATAGGAATGTGGAAAGGATGCTCCGGCAAGAGGCGAGCGCATACAAGCCATACAAATAGAATTTAAGGGCAACGTGCAGCGGCGTGGAGTTGGCAGGGCACTGCACTGCACTCCACTCCACTCCCATCCAGACAGCAAAATGAAACCAACTTCTGCCCTGGCAAATGGAATGGCAACTTCTTCTCTACCCCCAATTCCAGACAACCCATGGCGGCGGGCCGTAAAGTTCATCCAGAGCCATGCCACAAGAACAAAACTAAATGGGAAAGCAAAGGGTTAAGCTGCCTGCAACCGCAATTCGGGTCTACTCTGCTGTAAGTTGTACATAAACCAATACCATAACCGAAACAGTGCAATAACCGCAGGAGAGAGCCCAGTGTATAGTAATTACAAGGTAAGGTTGTCCGTAGTCCTGCTCTTTCCAACTCAAACCCCAAACAAGTTGCATTTGTCGCATTTCTCTTTTCCCCCGTAACACCCTTCGGGTCCAGAAAATGCAAAATCAAAACAAAACGGCGTCGGAAAAAATGTGAAAAGAAACAAGAAACGGTGTTGCCACCCACTCTCAAAATTGCACTCTCTTCCTCCCACGCGCGCGCTCTCTGTCTCTCTCCCGAGGAGGTAATCAGCAATCGCGTATTACGCGTCCGATTTGTCCCTGTTGCTACAGCTCCTTTTTATTTTTCTTCTTCTTGTGCTAGACCAATCAACATTTTTGTTGTTGCTATTGTAGGGCTCCCTGTTGCTCTCATACACACACACACACACAGAACCTCTTAGAGCCTTCGGATGCTTCTTCTTCGAATGTTCATTCTCATTGTTCGCTTCTCCATTCGACTTCTGCCTGTTTCGGGTTTATTTGGCAAATGGATATTGCGCGTGTGTGTGTGTGTGCAGCCTTTTTCACTTTTCATTGCTCTTGAATATTTTCGTTTGCCTGTCGTGGCCCCCACCCCACACACAGGTTCATGAGCGGCGGGCGGCACCCCACCTTGGGTTGATTCTCGCTTAAGTTAGGCCATTAGAACAATTAGAAAGACCGTCAGTGCAATGTAGAAAAAAAAATCGAACAATTTAAATTTGGTCTTGAGGCCCATCTTTTATTTGTATTATGTACGGGTGCCTGGCTATGCATTAGACTGTTTTTAAACCTTTATTTGGGTCAAAAGCAAAGCACGCTATGCTGGGAATTTATTCGGAAATTTCTTTATATTTTGCATTGCATGCATTTTTATTGAGTTTTACGTTTGCAATGTTTTAATAACTACTGAAGCAATACAGTGTCCACATTTGACCTCTGGCATGTCGTATTCAGCCCACTGTTCATGTTTCGGGCAACTTCGTTTTCGTTGCGTCTCTTTGGTTATTATGTGCATGAGCAAGCGAGACAGCTGTCTCTTGGTCGGCTGCGAAGAAGCAGCACAAGACAAATGACAGCCAACGCGCTGCGAAATGAGTGTGAGAGAAGTGGTGTGGTGGGTGAGGGAGAGACAGAGGCGAAGAAAATGGATTTTAAACATTTTTGTTTTGATTATTATTGTTCTTGTTCGTCGCAAACTTTGCGAAGCAGAATAGGCGAAGAGAGTGGGTGAGTGAGTGTGAGAGAGAGCGCGAGGGTGAGAGAGAACAGAGAGAGAGGGAATCAAAAGTGCAAGTTGCTTCTGTGGTGGACGGGGGCTGTGGGCCCCCCTGACAGAGTATGTAAATGTAACGCTGAACAAATTTTATTTGCAATTGAATCCAATTGAAATTTTTGTATCTTTTCTCCTCTTCATTCACTTGTTTCGTTACGTTTCACAAAGATCTCTCTGCCCGCGCACTGCCCGCTGTTGCGAGCGCCAACTATTATTTTTAGTTTGTTGTTCCCGCTGCCGACTTACCTTTTCGCTATTTATATTTTTGCGTTTTGCGCTTATTTCGCTTCTGCTGCTTTTGCTGCAATGGGTGGGACGAGCTCATCGCTGCCGCCAGCGTTCAATTTGTTGCTCTTTTGCATAATTTGCGAGCGCACGCAATACGTTAACGGAATGCTGTGCTGTGGCTGTGCTGCGGCTGTTCTGTGGGTTTGGTTTGCCGCCTTCTCGCTTACGTATTACGTAGTCTCCTAGTGCACGGCGATCGTAGTTGCTGTAGCTGTTGCTCACACACATACACTAACACAAAAGTGTTTACCGCCAGTTCTCTTGGTTTATTAATTTTTTCGTTTTATTTTTATTTCTTCTCGGTTATAGCGCTAACCTTTTTCTCTACGCTTCTACTCTACGCTGTTCCTACTCGCTCGCACTGACACTCACACACGCGCACGCACGCACCGACCGTCAGAGCGATTGGTTTTTCATAATTTGCAAACTTAATTTATTCTATTTGGCTGCTGGCCATGCTCATTGCACTTGCTGTTGTTGCACTTTGCTCGTTTCATTATTTGATTAGCTCTAGTTGCGAGTTCGCCTTCGTTTTCCGCACTTTTTCCGCACCGCACACCAAGAGAGGACAAGGAATTTCGCAGGCAAAACGGAATTTAAAACAATAATTATTTTTTCAGCTCGTCGTTCATCGCGCAGTGCTCGTGTTCGCCATTTTCGTATCAGGCTGCCAGACCGCCGGAACACAGTTGCCGAGTCACATAATCTGCTATAAATACTTATTCTTTTTCACAATCATAGTAATTGATTTATTGACTCCCTAAGAGTTCATTTTATCCTCTTGCACATTTTTTTTTGCCCACTAAAGTTTATAAATCCCGCATTTCTGTCGACACTTGTCCGCTGTGGCAACGCTTTATCATCTCTGTTTTGCCCTTTCCATTTATCACACTATTTGTCTCGCTCACACTTGCATGCAATTTCGCATGGTATGACTAAGATAAAGGTAGGGTTAGGGCTGCCAGACAAATCGCCACCTCACAGTAGCATACAAATGCAGACTGATATGACACGTTCGATGAGTTCGCAGTCGATAGTTTGGCGGGCTATTTTAAAATTCGAAATTTCTTCAAAGCAATGCGGATCGAAGTAAATGTTCTTTTGAGCTAAAAAAAGGTTAATTGCGCATGTGTGTGGCAGTGCCCAGTCTCCAGCTAAGTTATCTTTATGTATTTATAATTAGCAAATAAATATTCGCGACCAAAGTCAACATTTGCATAATGAAGGCGAAACCATTCAAATGAGTTGCAGTTTTCCCCCCCAGCTGAATGCGAAAGTGAGTGGGCGTGGGTGTGTGGGTGTGGGTGTGGGGTGGGGAAGTGGGGAAGTGGGAGGGAGTAATTGGCGGCTGACACCATAAAGCGCTCGACTGAACGCCGATCCATCGATTGGCATACAAAGCGACTGCTTGACGATGTTTTCACAAAGAGATAGATACATACATACACATGTATGTACATACATTTACATATGTAGATATGTATGTATGTACATTTCGGCTGCGTGGATTGGGGGTAAAAGCGAGCACGTAAGTTCCCCCCCTTTGGACCCCCGCTGAAGTCGCTCAAATGCAGCTAATTGACATTCATGTGCCCCAAGGCCGAACACATTAAAATAATTGCATGTTCTAGTGTAGCTCCCCAACCCCAATCGAGTTGCTCCATCATAATTTCCAGCATGATCGTCGCCCCAATGCTGAAGTGTATGCCATTAAGCTCATATTAATAAATAAATGCCATTTTCCCCACTTTCCAGCAGACATGCGCTCGGAAAAATCGATCAAAACGGATGGTCAGCGCACGGAGAAGCGAGTTTGGAGCATGAGCCCGAGGTCGTTACAGCAATTGACGTACATAAATACATACATACATACATACATATTCTACATAGAAATTAGGGAGGAGTTGCTGCAATCAGGCAACCTTGTCGTGTCACGAGCTGATTACACGAGGGAGTAATCGAAACAACCGTAACCTTGTGGCTCAAACTACACTGGTGGTGAAAATATTAGATACACTGGAAGCCCTTTGTTTTACTCATATATGTATGTATGTATGCATTAACTAGCATAGAAGCGGAGCCGCCCATTCCATACGGGGCTGAGCAAACAAAAGATCCCCCCGCACACACCCACAACATCAGTGGCAGCACAGAACGAAACGCCAGCAGCGATGCTGACGTCGCACCACCCAACCACCCACTCGGGTATGGCATGTGTTCGTGTCGGCGCCTCGTTCCCATCAAATTTGGGATCGAAATTGCAGGCAGCGCGCTGCTCCAAAAAACACACACAAGAGATAGAGCAAGAGAGAGCGCAGGCGGAGAGCAGAGTGCAAGAGAGCGCGCATTACCTCCGTCCCC